CTGCAGACTGTTGAGGGTTCAGCCTCCTGATGAGTCGGTGAAACTCCGACGAAACAGTTTGTCACAGCCCCTCGTTTGTTGTCTTCTTCTCTCTCTCTGCCTACGGTTTACCGGGCAGTTCTGTTATATATATCGTCACAAACAGAACTGCCCGGTAAACCGTAGGCAGAGAGAGAGAAGAAGACAACAAACGAGGGGCTGTGACAAACTGTTTCGTCGGAGTTTCACCGACTCACCAGGAGGCTATATATATAGATATATATATCGTCACAAACAGTATATGTATATATATATCGTCTGACAATATATATATATATATCTATATACATATATATCATCCAATTCCTTCTTCGCCCACACGACGCTCTCGTCCTGCCCCTGCCTGCTCATCTGTTGCTACCCCAGTTTCCACTCCTGCAGTTTCCACTGCTGCAGTGTCCACTGCTGCGGTTTCCACTGCTGCAGTCTCCACTCCTGCAGTTTCCACTGCTGTAGTGTCCAGTGTTGCTGTTTCCTCTGTTGCAGTGTCCACTGCTGCAGTTTCCACTGCTCCAGTTTCCACTGCTCCAGATTCCACTGCTGCAGTTTCTACTGCTGCGGTTTCCATAACTGTAAATCCCCCTAGTGTAGTTTTTACTGCTACAGCTTCCTCTGATGCAGCTCCAATGCAAAGAACATCACAGTCTCTTCGACACTCACGTCCTTTATTCCGAAATCTTGCCCAATCCACTCCCATCTCATCTCTTTCTGTGCTTGGCCGCAGACAGCTACGTTCCTCCTCACCACCCCCATCTCCTCCACGGTATCGCTCGCGAACAGACTCTCCAGTTTCCATTGTTTCCATTGTTCCACCTTCGTTGCTAGGGACAAGTTCATCTTCTGTTTGCAACACCACTACTCTTGTTGTGTATCGCCGACGACATCCGCGGCATCGTCATTTGTCCAGGGATCAGCAACCTGTTTTTTTGTCTGCCCCGATTCTCCATGTGCTTCCTCCACAGGTTGTTGTGGTTCCTTCGTTTCAAACGGCAATATCCGCTCCTATGCCTCCTGCAGACAGTCCAGCTGCCTGCAGGCAGCCACCGCAGCATGTTTAATACCCTGCGGCGTTAGATATTCAGGACTCACTTGTACAACACAATGTGGTCCCTGCCCAGAGTACACTCCCGACTACAGGGACAGTCCCTACTCAGGATGCAGCCCTAAACGTTGAGGGATTGGAACATGATCTGCCCGGATTGCAGTTGACCCCACGAGGCGTAGACCACATGACGGATCTGCAAATGGCTGACCAGCACTGTTCGGGTGAACCACAAATTTGTGTTCCGCCACGTGCAGACCACATCGGTGATCTGCGAATGACTGACCAGCACACAACCCAACACAGTATGGCCTTGCAACACCATCTGGGTGATCTGCAAATTGTTGGCCAGCATCCAACAAACCAGCCTGAGAACCTCACCAATCTTTGTGGTCTGACGGCAACTAATATCTGTCTTCACATTCTCCACCGCCAGTTTTATACACCATCAGACGTCCTTGCAGTCGCCCTTCAGCTTGATGCTGATCTTCCCCAACTACAGCCAAAGGATTGTAATTATACCAGCGAAGGAGGCCTTACCATTGCTATCCTACAAGTAGCAATGAGGGACCGCCAACTTGAATTACGCAATGCTCGAGCAGGTGAGTGGTTTAATCCTCCATCCCACATCTCTGCCTGCATTGTGCACGGGCCTGGCCATTACATCGCCATTGTACATGCCTCTGACCACTGGGAGCTGTGGGACAATGGCACCATGGTCCATGCCATGACTGATGTCACTGATTTCTTACAAAATGATGTTGTTTTCTTGCCTCAACGAACCGTCCGCAATCTCTTTTACGTCCAAGATCATTCCTCTGGCCCCTTGCTGCAGCAAAACAATGTACCAACACTGTGTGACCTTCTCCTTTGCACAGCCACAACTAATGTTACGCTCGGCTGTAGCCGCCATCGTCTTTGTCACAATCACTACAATGACATGGTTTCTGCATCAATGTGCGCACAGGACTGTCCCTCCGTTCCTGACTGCAGGCACCCTTCGCATCCAGACACTATATGTCCATTCTGCGGCCATGGGCTCTATACTGAATGCATGGTCTTCCGTGGTGACCGTTCTTCCTTCATTTTGGCCTGCAATCGACATGCCATTTGTCGGGGGTGTATAGTGGGCATGCTCAATGCCAGCCGTCGTGGCAATTGTTGCACCGAGAATGCTCAGCTAGGTCTTCCATGTGTTCATCCACCTCATCCTTGCAATGTATGCCCTCTCTGTCGTCAAGGGCAGACTCATTCTTGAGCCTCCACACTCCGTACGTTCCCTTACTTTCCCTTTATCGTTCTTTGTTTGTCTGCTCTCCATCTCTCCTCCCTGTGTTTATCCCCTCCCCCTTCACTCTGCCTCGTTCTCACAGCGTACAAGTGGACCGCTATGGTACACGGGGATGGGGGCAGCTCATGCTCAACTTCATCAACGTGGCGAGCCTTGTACGTGAGAGGCACGGTGAAAGGGGAGTTAAAAGAAGAATGAGAAAAATGAATGGTTCCAGTGTGCCCTTCATGTTTTTCTTGTTTTTTATTTTTTTTGTTTCTGCCGTTTGTTTCGCAAAGTGCGCTCTTTTAGTTCATACTAACTTCATAGTTATGTGACAATATACATATATATATAGTCAAACAGAGCTGCTTGGTAAACCGTAGGCAGAGAGGGAGAAGAGGACAACAAACGAGGGGCTGTGGCAAACTGTTTCGTCGGAGTTTCACCGATACATATATATATTTGCACGCCCGGGGTACCCCCGGGTGTCATGCCCGGGCAGGACCAGCCGGGCGTGAGAATCTTCCTCGGTGATTTCTTCAATGCTACCAGCCAGACCGTCCGGGTCACCTTGTTTTCCCAGGCGGCCCAGCTGTGCCAGGACCAGAAAAGGTTGTCTGCCGGTATCTGGAAGATTCCAGTCCCCCTTGTTTCCCGGGCCGCCCGGGTAGCCTTGTTCTGAGTGCTTGTGTGTGAAATTGGTGTCATGCATGATTGCAATTGGAGTTGAATTGAAGCTGGTTCATAGCAAAATATTGAGGTTTGTAATTGACTCAAATTCAAGGCCACACCGTCACGGGCAAGGGTCGTCACGCTTTTCTACGAAGGCCAGAAACAGGGGTCAAGGGTCACATCCCAAGTCTGAGAAATGCCTATGGTAGTAAAGGGCCTAAGGTCAAGGGGCATCAGGGCCTGAGTCAAAAACAGCGTCCAGAGCCCCCACGGGAGGCAGTCGACTCTTGGAAAATCGAGCGTCGGACCAAGCACGGGAAAGCGGGCCCAAAGTCAAAGTCAACCCCATAGTCAGCCCTGGCCATAGATCAGATGCGCATCAATGGTTGGCTGCAGGTATCCGGAAAGATTCCACTCCCGACTGGGAAAAGGTACAGCTGCTTCAAGGCTGCATCCAGGCCGTCCAGATCGGGCACATCTGGAGCGTCGGCAATGTCAAAGCGGAGACTGGTCCAGCCAGTCGACACTGATCAATGCTACAAAAGGATAGTCAGACACTGGGGAAGGCATTCTGCCTTGCGCTGGCTTAATGCTGGAGCCAGATGCTGCTAGTGGATGCCAGCCTAGAGGGAAGATTGTGTTGGCGTGGCCATAGCTGCGTAGATGTAGACTAGGTGACAAGAATTGGCGAGGAGGGGGATCAGGGCTGTGACACTGAAGGGAGATGTGGGAAGCTTACCTGGACTAACCTGGCGACGACACGTGTGATCCGCTGCTGTCTCCACGAAGGTGAGGAAGTGCTGTGCCATCCTCCATATCTGATTGCTGACATGGAGGGAGGATGGGCACCCGCCGCCCTGTTATGATCTGCACAGTAATTATGTCAGAGGACATCAGAGGAAACATGCATTGCTGAGGTGGCGATAAAGGAGGAGCCCAAAGTGGAAGTGGGAGAGAGAGAGAGAGAGAGAGAGAGAGAGAGAGAGAGAGAGAGAGAGAGAGAGAGAGAGAGAGAGAGA